TGCGCTATTATCTTTATTAGTTTCATGATTTAAATTCAGAATATAATATATTGACAAAATCTGCAGCTATTACCTTTATTAGTTGCATGGTTTAAATTTGGTATATAATATATTGAAAACAATAAAAAGATTTTTATTTAAATTTAAATATTAAAAATAATTATTCATCACTTACGGGTCAATATTAACTTGGACGTAAACGAAATAGTCAATTATTTATAGTTTAATAAATTACTCAACTACTTAATTTTTTTATTTGAAGAGTTTATACAATAATAAATTATTTTAAGTAATGAAATAATATAAATTTTATATTTATACTTATTATTCACATAAGTTGTCAAATATATGATAACATTTTATCAAAATAACTATTTTATGGAATCACATATAATCAAATCGATTTTCTGAGTAAAATTTTTGAAATGATACTTATTTTGAAACGAATATAATGTAATTTATTATCAGTTATGTACACAGCACGAGTTGTATACTAATTTTAAACAGGCATTCTTATGTAATTTTGCACAATTTAAACTATATATAACATTTTCAATAAATTAATATTGGTAAATTATATTACATATTGATTTCATGTTTTAAGTTTATAAATATTATTTAATAAAAATTTTTAATTTATAAATATTATTGAATACCTCTTACTGATACAAATAATTTATAATATTTTATTTATATATTTCACATGCTTCAATACTAGTTTGGATGATCACACACAAAGCTTTCTTTATTTGATTTCTTATGATTCAAAAGTTACGCGATGTAGTAACAAAATCGTAGCAAAATCAGTCTTAAAGTTCAGCCCATATGTTCACTTCAAAATTCAAATGATACAGATTAGGTAAGAACCAAATCAATTGCATTCTCACTGTCATATGCAAGACCGGAATACATCGAATTACACAGGACAACAACATTAAAACAATAGTCAATATGTACATACAACATTTTCTCAAAACGAAACACCAACATTCATCAAAAAGACAAATGCCCGCATTCCCCACTCTTTTCTCAGCATCCACGAGTAATCTCTGCAATTGTTTCGCGGAGGAAAAAAAAACTCCTCAATCAAGAGATATAATCAACTGAGCAACACCGAACCTTCATTGATTGTGGTGAGCTTCATCCTGAACGATCGAACCGCCAGCTTCGCTCGACGGGAGGAGTATCTCTGCAGCTTCCTCACCGAACCGGATCTCGAGACCCCCAATTCCGGTCTAGTCGAGAACTTGCCCGATTTTCCTCTCGGCACACAGTGACCGCGGACCGGACTTTCGACGCTGCTAGGGTTTTGCTGACGGCTGCTCGACGGCGAGTCCAAAACAGGCGAGATCCGCGATTTCTTGCTCCGGCCGCGAGGATCGGCGGCGTTGATCGCGGCGCTGGCCTTGACGGCCAACTCCGCCACATCGGCGGCGGCGAGACGGTGCTGGAGCTTGGAAAGCGGCAGGACGAAGTAAATCTCGGCGGGTTCGAGCTCGTCCTCCAGATCCAGGCAGGGGACGTAGTCGTCGAAGAACAGCCGGTCCGAGCTGCAGACAAAGAAAGAATCGGGAGACAGAGCCTCGAATTCGAGCACTTGAGACGCCGTCACCGGGAGCGGGTACTGGCGTAGCTCGCCGGCGAGCGAGACGACGTTGCCTGTGGGTTTCAGGCGGCCGGAGTAATCGGACGATGAAAAACAGCAGCCCATTTTTTTCTGTGTGTGTGTGGAGAAAACTGGAAAAAAGAGTGAATTGTTTTGTTATAAGGGAAATAATTTTCGAGTGATTAGTGAATATGAAAATGAAATGAGGCGGCGAAGGGGATTTTTATAGAAGTGACTTGGTGAGAGTGAGGGTCAAGAAGCACACGTCGTTGTCTATGGCCACGTGACGTAAGGGGTGAGTCAGCTTCTGAGAAGCTGAATTGCCGCCCAAGCATGTGCTTCCTCACCCGCCCAGTGGCTACCTTTTGCCACTAATAGGCTTGTCATTCAATGGCCGTTACATTATTGCTTTTTTCCTCCTTATTTAATTGAATATATTTTATTTATTTATTTATTATCTATTTATTTATATATTTTGATCGACAAGAGAGATTATCAGCTAATTTGTAAGGTCCAAAACAATCTCTACCAGCTTGAACGACCTTGGATCCGCTCATGTCCAGTTCAAATATCTGCAAAATAGTGTCGGGAGTGGTCTTGATGTAGAACTTTCAGAAAGTGTATTAAGATATGAACAGTAGCAATATAGTTTGTATGTAAGCAATGTGTAGAGTTTGTGTAAGATTTTATTTTGACAAAAAATTCTGAGANTACATTCTCTCTCTCTCTCTCTCTCTATCTCTTATTTAGGTCTAGATTGTATTTTATTTGGTTTGGCAAGTTTTTACATAATAGATGTTATTTCTATAATGTCTATTTTTATTTTGTAGGGATCTTGCATTCAAAGGAAGAGGAAGCTGATCGAGGCACAATGGACATGAAGATCTCGGCTTCCATACATGAAGATCTTGGTCTTATTTGGAAGTTTGAATTAGGAAGGAAATTCACTCCAAAATGAAGAAAGCTTGAAGACTCCTTGCATTGAGGAGATTGTACATATATCTACACAAATACTCGATTCAAGGTTGTTGTAATTATCGGAGTTCATCATATTTGAAGACTTCTTTGAGTGTTTGTGAGATTTTGTTTCAACTTCTTTTGTAAATAGTTTTTTGGTGTTCTTACACCACTGAATAATTGTGTTTTATTTTTTTATTTTTACAAACACTTTATACTCAGGGATTAAGTATTGTTATAACTGAGAGGGATCTGTAGCTAGTTTAAAGTCCACACAGGTGTGGCAAGAGGATTAGTTAATAGGTTCGAGTATATCGTTGGCTAAACTAGAAGGGAGTTCGAGTCGTGTATGTCCAAGTTGTACTTTGTGTGCGCAAAGAGCTCTGAGAGGTAGTTGGGCGCTCCACTAAGAGATTTCTAAGTGAATGCTTCCGCTTTTATTTTTGGTGTTCGACCACTATTGCATACTCTATTTAGTCCCAACAAACATTTCAATTGGCACCAGAGCAGTGTTCCTGTCTAATCACAGGATAAAGATTTGATGTCTTTTGGGTCAGACACGATGAACCACGACGGCTTATCGATTTCACGTCTACCGTATCTTGATGAATCCAATTATATGTATTAGAAATCCATGATGACGATCTCTTTACGATCTTTAGGAAGAGGCAGATGGCAAATTATTGAAACCGGATGGACCTTGCCTATGATGGAGAAATCTCCTCATGACAAGATGGCACTAGAGCATTCTTTCTGTCTAATCACAGGATAAAGATTTAATGTCCTTTGGGTCATACACCATGGACCACGACGGCGATTTCACGTCCACCGTATCTTGATGGATCCAGTTATATGTATTAAAAATCCATGATGACGATCTTTCTATGATCTTTAGGAAGAGGCACATGGCAAATTATTGAAACTGGATGGACCTTGCCTATGATGGAGAAATCTCCTTATGACAAGATGGAATCCTCTTTAATTGATGCAGTCAATCTCAAGCTGGTTGAAAAGCCAAAAAACCAATGGACTGACAACGAAAAGCAAGTAGAAGACGTTAATTTTCGTGCTCTCTATGTGATAATGTAGGCGAATGATCCTACTAGTCACAAGATAATCATTTAGTGTTCCACCGCATACGATGCTCGGAATATTCTCGAGAGGCAGTTCGAATGGACCAATGCAGTGAAGTCCTCTAAGCTACAACCAATTACCACATAACTTGATATGATTAGGATGAAGGAAGATTACTATGCTCGCCTTTGTGATCTCGTAAACCAAAGCACTATGCTTAGTGAAGAGGTATCGGAGGCAAGACAAGTACAAAAACTTATGAAAACTCTTCCAAAATGGTTGCTCGAAAAGATAACTGTATTGGAAAGCTTCATGCGAATTCAACCTCAGGGGATAGATGATCTACTTGGAGATTTGCGTACCGCTGATTTCAACTATGGCTTTGATAATGTGAAGAGCAAAGGCATCGTGCCGAAAGTACGGTATGGTAGATAAAGTTATTCACAAACACCCGCAAGAGGATCTAACAAGAGCAGGTTGTATTGTACATCATACAAGTATAAGAAGATTGGGAAATGAAAATGTCAGCACACCTGTGGGTATCTGCAAACCACCAAGTCGTCGCACCGCATCCCTTAACACCCTACTATCAGCTGTAGATCCGTTCCACCACGCAAATATATGGGGAAAATTCATTTTCACATTTCAAACCCCTAGAACATTGACTCAGACTTCACCATTTTTTTTTTTTTTTTTTTTTNTGTATCGAGGGTGCAATCTTAAAGGAACCCGTACTGAAATATGGGTACCATCTAACACACATAAACAACCTTGCATCACATTCGCATTCGAGAAAATATTACACATCAACGTTGCAGTTGTACGAATTACTAATTTTTTAAGGAAATCCTTCATCGAGTGTATAAGAAGTTGTACTTACCTTAAACCACTTCCACCTCAGTAGTGTTGGACTTGTCTATAGGTTTTGCTTGCACAACAAGTAACAGATACAAAACGTAGCACGACATTAGTACATAGTGAAATAATTTGCTAATGGTTTGACCTGACCTTCTAAAGTCATGTTTCACAATGACGTTCTTTTTATGATGACTTAAGACGCTTAAGAAAATGCTACTTGCTCACTAATGAGAATATTTCTAATACTTTCTAAATCTTGACATTTGCCAAAAGATAACACAACCGTCCAAATGCATTTCGGATCATACGTAATTGTTCCAAACAAGTTGTATCGCTAACGCATATAAGTTGTTACATATGTTCTAGTTGTTTTGGAAGACGCTCGGTGATACTAAAGGAAGTGCGGGTGTGGCGGGCCACAAAATTACGACGGCGGTTGTGTTGACCAAAATAAATTAAATACATAACACCTATCAAGAAGGCAAATTTTCAGGATATTAAACATTTATTCAACAATAACGAGTACTTCGACGTCTTCGATGCCAATGTCCATCACGACCACAAATGACGTACTATAATAAAGCCATTATACATTCAAAAACTAGAACATAACTTTTTAACCCAAATTCCATAACAGAATGTCAATTTGGTCGCACAGTTGACCTTTCCAAGACCAAGAAAAATCAACCCTAAAATTTTAAAAGAGTGACGAGTAATAAGAAAAATAATGTATTATAGTCAACAACATCATAATATACCAATGCCTTACAATTATTTTAGTTCGACTTAACAGAGAAGGAATGCGGACTAGTGAAAAAATATACAGAAAATGCAAACAAAATAGGAAAGTTTAAAGCAAGTTATTTGCAAACAGGAAAATATCAAGATTTGCTTGTTGTTGTTGGTGTATATACTGAAAGCTTGGCTTTAGATGTATTTACACTTAACCCGTTTGAACGAAAATCATGTTTAATTAACCAGTCTATGTTTTGTTGTTTTTCACTTAGATAGAATGGGTCGTCATCGGGCGAACAGAAGATCATTCTATCAGTTACTTGCGAAACAAGAATTGTGGTTCACAACCTAGATGGAAATAAACACGCCATCCGAGCAGTTGTAGTGTTTATCGTACAGTTGGTCTTGACTGATTAGTTACACTAGTACACTTTGTGTATTGAACGGATTCCAGAGAGGAGAAGTTCATTTTATACTGATCGTCATAAACGAACTAGACCTCGGTTATTTACTGTGTACTCTTAACCCGTAAGATATAAACAGGCATGTGCATGCAGTAAATATTACTTTGATTCACTTGGGTGAGATTCAGTTTACTAGATCAATATACTTTTGGGTAATATTATTGTATGTACGATGTGCTGTTAGAATATTTATGGTCACCGTCGTTAGTTTGATGATGTCCCCGAGATGAGCTCATGAAAGATTATTATGTTAAATCTGGTCACTGGAATTTATTCTGACATAATAAGAATGAGATGAGTAGTACTAGCCTCCGTTATAGATGTCGATTAATTTAATTGTCAGTAATTAATTAATTGATGACATTATGTCTTAAAAACGGGGAGATAAATCGAGTAATTATTATTGGAGACTCGAATATAATTCGAGAATTAAATTGAGAGTTTATTCAATAATACTACTTTAGTGGAGTGTACGTATTATTCCTATTTGGGTTTGGTAGGCTTGGCCTATAGTCTAATCCAAATAAGAGAAGCCCAATTTAATAACTTCTTAGGGTCTCTATTGTAGCCTATAAATACATCACATCTCGTGCGATTAGGAGACTAAGATTAGACATATGAGATACACGATTGGGAGTCTCTCACGGCTTATTCACGTCGCTCCCTCTCTTTGTTCTCTCTCTTGTGTTCTCTTCTTCTTCTCCAAGTAATCCCAGTAGAGATATCTCTGATCTATCACCCACCAAGTTGATCGGACGAGATGTTGGGTCATACAACAGAAGATCTGAGGCTGTCTAGCGATATATATATATATTTATCCAACCCCGTAATATATATATATATATATATATATATATATATATATATATTCAACCTCGTAATTTATCTGTAACTCGCAGGGTTGTCCGTTCTTCACGAATAGAGAGAATTATGCAAACTGGATGTATTGGGAGTGACCGGCGACCTCCGGCGACCATCCCACGACGACCGGCGTGACGCGACCAGCCGCCGCCGTGCCGGAACGTCCCGCGCGCCTCACAAGACGCAGCTCGCGAAGCTCGAAGACGGCCCGCGCGACCTCAGCGTTCTTCCTTTGCTATTGGTCCAAGCGAAGCGGTCCTGCCAGCGAGTCCCAACTGAGCGGATGGCGGCCAAACGATGCTCCAGATTGCGGAAAACCGGCCCAGCTCACTCAAATTCGGTCCAAGATGCGTCCAGCAGGTCCAAACCGAGTCCAAGGGTTGTCCAACTGCTTCGGGGCGATCCGGTGAGTCCTCGACAAGTGCGGGACGGTCCAATATGATTAGGGAACGATCCGATGAGCCGAAAAAATTAAAAAAGGTATGCTTTGAACCATCAATTCTAGTTCCGTTGCGCTTAGGATTTAATTCATAAATAATCCGTGACATGCATATTATTGGGATCATCACAGATCCCAACAGTTGTGAGGAGACTAACTTACGTAACTTGTTGAATGAGCAAAGCCAAAGATGACGGTAGATCAACACGGCTTCTACAGACGATTTTGGGAAAGTGACATGAATAGAATAGTCGTTTAGAAGAACTTAATCGATGGTAGAAGAAAATAAAATTGATCGATCCACAGGCAAGCCGCAACATTTATATAACACAAANACCTTCCAAAAACCAAAGAGATGAACAATGATGAAGATTTAGCAAGAGTGAAGGTAATGACAACTAGATGTGTAGTGGGGTTACACAGATGTACAAATGTAAATATTATGTCGAAAAAGGGTGTAATGGTAAAAACATCATAAAGTGAGGCACAAAATTGCCATTCACAGTACTACAAACAAGGCATGTCTAGGGCTCCTCACCAAGATCCATTTGTCTTGGATACACCAAATTGGTGAAGACTCACAGGCCACACCCAATCTTGCGAGCCGCTATCAGTGGCAACAAACAGTCGATTGGGCTCCAATTATGGGCCCAATTTCGTCCTATCAATGAAAACAAATGAGGCGTTAGAGCATCTACAATGCTTTGGGTTCAATCCCAAAAAATTACATGCCACATAATAAATAGACCCAGTCCAAAAAAATATATTCTCCAATGCAAATAAAAGTAGACTGGGTCCTGCTGATGTGGCAGCCAGAAAAAGAGACTCGGTCTCCCCTTAAGTCCATTTTAGACCCAAGTAGAGACATAGTCTCTTTGCATTGGAGTGAATTTTATTAATTTTACATAATTTTATCCACGTCATCTAAGACTTGGGTTTATTTACTTGTCACATAGGCAAGACTAGACCCAATGCATTGAAGATGCTCTTAGTGTAAAAGCATAGTTTTTAAACTCAGTTGGGCATTCAGGTCACCAGGTAACCGGTTCAACTGTCGGGTCACTAAATCAATTGTTGAACCGAATAATTAATTTTAAAAAATTTTAAATTATACATAAAAGCAATAGAAGTAAATGTTTTGTATATAATTGAAGTGTTATTGTATCTTATAATAAATATTTAACATATAAATATATTTATACATAGTTTTTATTTTTAAAATAAAAAAATTTATGAAACAAAAAATAATTAAAGTGACCGAGTCAAACTGGGTTGACTCGGCTAGGTCGATGCCCGGGTCGACACGGTTGACCGGGTCTGTTGTAACCCGGTCCGAAGTACCCACTCGGAGTGTTCCCGACTCGGGTCGGCCCACCAAGCAGATTCGCGTTGAAACACTATGTAAAAGACAAAATCTCGTAGGACACATGCATTTCAAACATAGTCAAAGAAAGAACAATAATACGTAATTATCACAGTATCAAATTTTGTACCTAGCAGCGTATATGCATATATTTTTGTTATTTAGATAACATATCAATAAGTTTATGGACAGACAATGAGTTGAAAATATATGCATGTCATGAAAACTTTGTACCTATCAACGTGTAGGCATATATATACACAAATTTTATGTATATCATATCAATAAGTTTATGGACAAACAATGAGTTGAAAATATATGCACGCCATGATTGTTAAACTTGCTTATTTTATTCTCCATGCATTTTACGAGAGATAATTATTTGATGTCGGAACTCCACATAATCTTAATTTGAATGAACAGTATGAACTACGTGCGCGAGATTTTTCCACTATCTAATTTTTGAAAATAAATATATATTTTTTATGTTTGGTATTAGCCGATAACGAATCGACATGGTATTAATTAGTTTATAAAGAATATATAGTTGATTGTATAAGCGAATAGCTGATAGCTGATTTAACTAGCTAGTGGATCGTATTAGCTGTTTGTTTTATAATGAATTTTATATTTATTTTAAAAATTTTATGTTCATATGTAAATCAACGGATCATCTCTTCTCAAAGTGTTCCTATTACGCTTTTTAAAAATTAGTGTTTTGGGCTTAAAAAACTAATCAAAATAAGTTATTTTTCAAACTAATTATCAAATTTGATAGGTCAAATCTCCAATGATGTTCAATCTGTTAATTTAACACTAATTAGCTAACATTCAAACAAGGTCATTAAGTTGTTTCCATTAAGAAACATGCAAACAACGATGTTATAACCATTAAACGGATTGATCATAATATATATATATATATATATATATAGGGTCGCGCTCCGGTGAGAATGGTATTTCGTGTGAGAAATAAGAATGAATCTTAGCCATTAAACCGGATGATCTAATGACTAAAAAAAAGTCAAAATCATATATTCATTAAGGGTAATTTAGACATTACAATTACACATCACAAGCCACATCACCATGCCACATCATCATCCACACACCTAACACACACGTAACACACGCACAAACACACACAGCACACGCACACGCACACATCAGCACACACAAACACACACACACACTCTGCACACACCTCTCTCTCTCTCTCACACAAACACACACACACACGAACACACACAGAAGGCTAGAAAGGCGCACGCCACCGGCCATTCTTCACAGCACCGCCGCACCTATCGATCCGGCCGCCGTCGCCGCTCGCCGACGGTTGAGAACGCCAGTGCCGGCGCCGCCCTTCTTTATCCACCGACCCCCGCCGCTCAAATTCGACGAGAAGTTCGTCTCCTCCGGCGAGACACACGGCGGCGCCTGCACCTGACGGTCGACATATGTCACACCGGCGGCGTCGGAGATGTCCTCACGGCCGGCATCGCGGAGGATTGTTCCGGGCAGGACGACGACGCACACACACCACACCTGCACACAAAACACGCACACACCCGCACCTGCACACACACGCACGCAGCCGCTCCAGACAGCAGATCACCGCCGTCCAGATGCTGCCGGCAAAGACACGGCATCACACACAGACACATGTGACCACACACAGCAGACACATACACACACAGTCTGACCACCCATCCCCCCGATCCAACCGGCAGCGCCGTTACAGCCGGAATTCAGACATCGTTGCAGCCTCAGCAACCGCCGTTAGCCACCGCATACCACCATACACCGCCACACACACACGAACACACACGCCTGAACACCCAATGAAACACACACATATACACAAACGAACACGCCGAATCGGAATTCCCTAATCTCCGCCGAATTGGAGATCCCCAATCTCCGCCGAATTGGATTTCACCAATTTCCGAGGCCGCCGATGATTTTCTCCACCTGCAGAAGACAGAGATGTGCGGGCATTCAGAAATTGGGAATTCCCAATTGGGATTGTTTCTTTTTAATAAATTTGATTAGTGATAGGGACTTGATTGAAATTTAAGAATTTTAAATATATTTCAATTTAGTATGTGGACTAAATCTATAATTTATAAGAATTCATAAATAAATATTATTGTTTAATAGCTTCTATACATTTATATTAAAGTAACTAATAAATATATTGAATAAAAATAATACAAAATATAAAATTATAAATTGTGTATAATATAAATAATAAAGTATTTCAAATATTTAGGTAAATTCATTTGACTAATCGATTAAACTACTTTCCGGGATCGGTTTTATATTAGATTTGCGCATAAAAAA